AATTCTGTTGGCTGAAATTTTTGACAGATGAATTTGACAGATAAAATTTCTGACAGATGAATGTTTCAGCCAATAGAATTACTGGAAATCTATTCAAGGTCATTACGCCGTTACGCCGATACGCCGTTTTTAGGATAGTGTGGCTGCACCCTCAGATCGGTGTTTCCTATAAAATATTAATAATTATAAAAACATGTTCAATAAATGTGTATTACAAAAATATGTTGTTTTCTTATAAATACAATCTTGAATAACCTGAACAGAAAATTGTTATTATCTTACACGCTATTGCATACTAATTGAGCATTATCCTTGACATTCAACAAGGTAGCAACTTTACCGTTATTCCATAAAAAGTGAAATTACATATATCCATCAAAGACAAGTTAAGACTCGCTTTTAATCTTGTTATTCGCTTTATTAATATTATCAAGAAATATTAATTTTCTTTTCTTTTATTACATTTTTAAAAATTTGTCACCAAATATACTATTATTGATGAAGGAAAAATAATAAAAAAGTTCCTTAAAAATATTTAAGTTAAAATAAATAATTAACACTTTTAAATAAAAGTCCAAATTTAAATTTTACACTCCAAAAAATATGTAAAAAAATATTTATTAAAGCAGACTATAGATATTGTTTGGGTAGAATTTTTTTTTAAAAAAGAAATAAAACATTAAATTATTTTCGTTGAATGTTTATTTTTTCATATAATTTGAAAATATTACCTACATTAAAAACATTTTTTTTATGATGATTCAAAACCCTTTGTGCCTCGAACAGTTTCTATTGACATATCGGTACATTCAATCAGCGAGGGATACTCAATTTTATGGCAAATCATCTGTGCTATTCGGTCCCCCCGTTTAATTTCAAACTTTTTATTACTAATGTTGCGAGCCGGTGTGGACTCGACCTAACCTCACAATATGGCCCGCCCTCGGATGACCTTAACATCGCATAGACACCGCAATGATTCATTCGTTCAAGAAGAATCGAGACCCACTAGAATGGACTAGTACATACGAGAACATTCGAAAACCTTCTCTATGCGCCTAACGATCTTTGGACTATTCTAGATTTCTTTTGCTGTAGGTATAAAAGCCGGCGGCAGTGGCCTAGAGAGGGCAGTTATAAATATACCAGTGCAGTTGACGCGCAAAAATTCAAAATAAATTCTTAGTTATAAATCGTTTGTAAATAGTTCTATAAGTCTTTTATCGTTATTGTTTTTGTAAATTAGTGTTAAATAAATAGTGTTTAAATAAATTGTGACTTTCTATCCACACGGAACCGACGAAAAACGTAACAATTGGTGTCAAGTGTGGCGTGTGTGATAGACTAGAAAAATAAAAAGACTGAAAATGGCTTCGAAAAAATTGTTGAAAGACTTGAAGTGTCGGAATTAAAATGCGTACTGGAAGAGAGGGAATGCGAAACAGATGGAAAGAAAAGCATTTTACAAGCCAGACTGAGAGACGTTTTGATTGAGGAAGGTCAGGATCCTGACACATTTTGCTTTGAGCTGGAAGGTGACCTTGACTCGTCCTTACAAAAATTAGAAGACAGTTTGAATGATAAAATGACAGAGAATTCTCAAAAATTAGAAGACAGTTTGAAAGATAAAATTATGGAAAATTTCCAGGATTTAATTAATATTTTAGAGGATAAAATCATAGAAAATTCTAAAGATCTACAAGCCAGTTTCAGTGACAAAATACTTAATTTAGAAGAAAGTTTAAACAATAAGATTATAGAGAATTCTACGGAACTACAAGACAAAATAACGGAGATTGAGGAAGATGTTAACAGAAAAATCGAAATTTTAAAACAATAGAAAAGGCCAATTCACCAAAATGTCAAGAAACATCGGAGGCACCGAAACTAGTCGAAAATAAGTATATCTCAAAGTCAGTTATTAAGCCTCCACAGTTTGACGGAAAAACCGCTTGGGCCAATTATTTTTGCCAGTTTGAGGCCGCTGCGAGAGCGAACGGAGGACAATCACTGAAAAGGCTACCGCTTTGACTGTCGCACTGCGAGGAGATGCGACTGATATCCTGCAGACACTGTCACCATCGGAACAGGGAGATTATCAGCAATTGGTACGACATTTAGAAATGAGGTACGGCCAAGCTCATTTGGAACATGTCTATCATTCCCAGCTAAAAAATCGCATTCAAAAGTCAAATGAGTCTCTGCAGGAGTTTGAAGCCGACGTAGCCCGCCTCGTTCGCCTTGCGTACCCTGCTATGCCCGAAAATGTTATGGAGCGCTTAACAGTACAGGCTTTTATTGATGGTTTACGTGACAACGAGACAAGGCAAACACTTCTTTTAGCTCATCCAACGCATTTGGGAGATGCCCTAGCACGTGCCCTGGAATTTGAGGCCGCGAAAGAATGCTCTAGGTCTCTAGGATTTGTACGGGCTGTTGAGGAGAGTTCCGACGATTCCAAAGTGGAAAGGATTGTGCGGAAAGTACTGGATCAGTATATGAGCAAGAAGGGGGGACCGATTCGCTGTTGGAATTGCGGACAGATGGGAAATCGTTACAAAGAAGAGAAAGAAGTGAAAGTCTTAAGGACGACTGTGGTTGGTGATAGTTGGCAAACCGAAGATCTTGCAAATGACCAAATCAGTGATCCAGAGTTGGGCTTGGTGATTAACTGGAAAAACGCGGACCAGAGACCAACGTGGGAGGAAGTTTGCAGATATTCGCCGAACGTGAAGTCGTACTGGTCCCAGTGGAATTCATTGGTATAGATAACGGATTACTTCGCCGTGTGATTGAGAGACAAGAGGGACAAGAAGAGAGAAGGCAGATCGTCATTCCAAAGAAGAGGGTCCCGGAAATCTTGGCGGAAGTTCACAATGGAACCAGCGGTGGACATCTTGGTGTTACCAAGACACTTGGCAAGCTGCGTGAACGGTTCTACTGGGTGAACTGCAAAGAAGATGTGAGGGCCTGGTGTAAGAAATGTGACATTTGCGCAGCCATTAATGGGCCACAAAAGCGTGGTAAAGCCCCTATGCGCCAGTACAATGTTGGTAGTCCCTTCGAACGAATAGCGATCGACGTGGCTGGTCCTTTCCCGGAGACGAACGATGGCAACAAATACATTGTGGTAGTAATGGATTACTTCAGCAAATGGGTCGAGGCCTACGCGTTGCCAAATCAAGAAGCGTCCACGATTGCTGATGCCCTTGTTAAAGAATGGATCTGCAGGTTTGGTGTTCCCATGGAGCTTCATTCAGATCAGGGAAGAAACTTTGAGTCCAATCTGTTCCAAGGCGTCTGTGAAGTCCTGAACATCCGCAAGACCAGGACGACTGCTCTACATCCACAATCCGATGGGATGGTTGAACGCATGAACAGAACTATCAACCGTTATCTGGCCAAAGTAGTCTCTGACCACCAAAGAGACTGGGACAAATTTCTTCACCTGTTCCTGTTGGCCTACCGTTCATCCGTCCAAGAATCTACAGGGCAAACTCCAGCCAGCATCGTTATGGGACGGGAAGTGCGCCTACCCTGTGATCTGAAATTTGGTTGCCGACCGGGAGAAGAAGTCGCCGGAGAAGATTATGTCCACACACTACGTCAAAGGATGGACGACATTCATCAGAGAGTCCGCCTAAATATTCAAAGTGCTAGTGACCGAATGAAGGAACACTACGACATTCAAGCTGAGCATGGAGGATACCAACCAGGGAAGTTGGTGTGGCTATATAACCCGCAGAGACGTCGTGGGTTATCTCCGAAGCTACAATCCTCGTGGGAAGGGCCATACGAAGTCATGGATAGAATTAATGACGTCGTATACCGTATCAGAAAATTGCCAAAAGGAAAACCGAGGGTAGTCCATTTCAACCGTTTGAGCCCCTACCAAGGCGAAATAGAAGATCGTGCTGGGACCGTGAGAACCTGCAGCTTTGATCCCCCTGATTCGGAGATGTCCTTTGACGATTTCATGGCCCGATACAACAGCAGTGAGAAGGCTCGCTATGGTGTAACCAAAGAAGATCAACGAGACCTCTTTTCCGTGCCTCCTGATTATTCGCTCGCTCATTGTGTGGCTCGAGATTTGCGGATGTCCAGAGGAATCGCTGCGACGTTCAATGAGAAGTTTGGGCGTGTCGGAGAACTACGCCGACAGGATCCAGAGGTTGGAAGCGTCTTGAGGCTAACCGACAATGCACATGGTCAAGCAAGGCACATCTTCTACCTGGTCACCAAGGAATGGTCCCCGAGTAAGCCGACTTATCTCAATCTATGGAAGACCCTGATTGAACTGAGAGAAGCCCTGCTAAACAACAACATTGCACGATTAGCCATTCCGAAGCTGGCGTGTGGACTCGATGGTTTGAGTTGGCGTACAATCCGGAACATGATTGAAGTCTTGTTCAGATTTACGGGAATCGAGATCCTCGTTTGCTGCTACAACCCAAAGCTGAGATCGGGAAAGAAAACTGTAGACTGCTATTTCTACCAGACTTCGCAATGTACCAGGGGCCAGCTTAGCAAATACCTTCATTCACCGTATACCTCTCGGGACGAGCATGTGCCTAAGAAGGGAGCAGTGTTGCGAGCCGGTGTGGACTCGACCTAACCTCACAATATGGCCCGCCCTCGGATGACCTTAACATCGCATAGACACCGCAGTGATTCATTCGTTCGAGAAGAATCGAGACCCACTAGAATGGACTAGTACATACGAGAACATTCGAAAACCTTCTCTATGCACCTAACGATTTTTGGACTATTCTAGATTTCTTTTACCTGTCGGTATAAAAGCCGGCGGCAGTGGCCTAGAGAGGCTAGTTATAAATATACAGTTGACGCGCTAAAATTCAAAATAAATTCTTAGTTATAAATCGTTTGTAAATAGTTCTATAAGTCTTTTATCGTTATTGTTTTTGTTAATTAGTGTTAAATAAATAGTGTTTAAATAAATTGTGACTTTCTATCCACACGGAACCGACGAAAAACGTAACACTAATATTAAATAATAAAATTTTAACTTCGCCCCGATAGTCTTCATCAATAACACCAGCTGGAATGAAGAGAAAACAAAAAAAATAAATAATGAATATTTTATTAGTGGCAAAATTTACCTCCACAAAGAATGGAATAGTTCAAAGCCAAACTTGACCGAGCTTCAATCTTCAAAAAAGATCCTCCAGGAATTTCCACTTGCAGTCCCGTATTTATCAATTATTTTGATTGTGGGGCGATTGTACAATCGAGAGGACTGAATAAATCCAATCCCGCTGATAATGGGGTTGCTCTGACCGGAACGCACGCATCCTATGACACCTTTTTAAACTTTAAAACAGACATCGCGTTAACTCTAACGACTACGATGATGACGACGACGATGGCGACAACGACGACGACCTATTATCACGATTAATACAAGTAAGTAACTAAAAGATCGTACTTACTACCAGTCGCTCTCTAAGAAAGGCAACATATTGCCACACCTTGAAGTGGTTGGCTGGGCGAGCGCGTTGCGTAAGATCATGCATTCGCCAATTACTTATGCAAACGGTAGTAATGGTAGCCGTTCCCTTTTTAATTATCATACGAGACGCAGAAATTAAATGAACTGTGACGTTTAACGGCTGTGCTGGGCTGGCGCCTTGCATAAGATTATATTCGATATACGGGGTGAGCAAATAATATTGTTATAATAATATGTTTACTTTTTTATTATTATTTATGTATATTTTTTGGTGGAATTGGTTAGGCTGCATTGCGCAGGCCCATTGTTTAGACTTTTTTACCACAGCCCCCCCCCCAAAAAAATACCCTGGGGCAAAAAAAACAAAAATATTAAAAAAATAGGAAAAATATAAATTTGGCAACATTGGCCAAACCAAACCAAACCAATCCGAATCTGGATAGGTCAACAAATGGCCACCATCTTTAACATCTTGGAAATGGCCGCTATCTTTATGGCCGCTATCTTTAGATTCTTTTTGAAGCCATAAGGTGTCATAGCAGCACCATTGTATTACTACTTGTTGACATTTTTATTTCCGGAGCCGGCATCTGTGCTCCCGAATTACGAAAGCCGGCGCGGCGCCGGCAGCTGAGTCACTTCCTAATATAAAATATAAATGGCAATCTTAAACATTGCCTCAACACTACAAAATGCTTTACTTTATTATAAATGAAATGAGACATTTAAACTCTATTCAGATGTTTAAGAAATGCTGCAAGTTAAAAGTCAAAAGAAAATATGATTTTTTTAACTATACCTTAAAGCCTATACCACGTAAAGGGAATAAATCAGTTTAAGTGACAATTTTCAGTTCGTTCAGAACGAAAGAATACTACTAATATTATTGAGTTAAAGTCACTTATAATGGCGGCTTATACAAACTATTTTATTGTGGCCTTGTATAACTGTGTATTTTTATTTTCTATATTTAAAAATGAAAGAAATATTCAGATAAAGAAATAACAAGTTATATTTTTCTTACCAGTGGTTCAGGGAGCTCCTTCTTAAATTCAATTTTTTCCAATAATCTCTTATGTGGTATATGAAAAGGCACATTATCTGTTACCCTTAAACTAAAATTTATATTATTAATACAAAATACATGAGTTGAATAAAACTTTAGACTATAGTCTTGGTGCATTTCAAACGATTTTTTAAAATTCCAACAACAGCGCTCATAATGCGGCAGAAATCAGAACTACCCGGCTACTTTTTTTCTCGCGGTCCTGGTTACGGTTCATTTTGATCGCATTGAAATAATATTGAAATCATGGCTATGTCAGTATATTCATAAGTATTTTGTTTTTTACTAGTGCAGTTATTGAAACTATAAACCTCTTAGGTAAGAAATTCGTATGGTGTATCGCTGTTTCGGATAGTCAAAATTAGTTTATGAATTACATTATTATGAATTGATAATATATACCGAGTGCGTCACAAAAGTGGCTCATCCCTATAACTTTTTTAATTTTTAAGATAAAACAACGAGATTTGGTATATTAGTATAAGACATAAATTGGGATTGATTGACGTATTCAATTGTTTTCAGTCACTTCCGGTTTCACCGGAAATGACTACAACTTTTTAAATGGCACCCTCGGTATTTTTTTACTTTATTTGATAGAAAATGACATTCTGAATCGAATGACATATCATATGTCAATTTTTGACATAGTCACTTAAAAACAAATTATATTTTAAATTTCAACCTAGAGTGCCATGGTTGTGTTAAAAACATTATTTTTTAATCAAGGAGCCTTGGAAAAATAGATTTGATCGTCTAATGTTTTAGTGTCTTGTCCTGGCCGGTTAATAGATGGCCAAATCGTATTTTTAATCATATCTCAATTTTTTCAAATGGAACGAGGGTGGCTCATTAGCACATTTAGAAAAAGCATTTTTTTACGAATAATTTGATACCACACACTTGGTAAAACAAAAAGTTCATATCAACTTGTAAGATTTAAAGCTTCCTTTTCGAGATACAGGGTGTTAAAGTTACTTAAAAAAAGAAAAAAAAAATAAGATATTTGAAAAACTATTTAATCGATTTTGATATAACTTGACCCGTTTATAATACTATGGGACTTAATTTGAGGTAATTAGATTTAAGTTTAATGACCAGGGGCGGTGGTGGGGCATCACTGTTAAATTATTTTAAAGGAAAAATTAGGCACGCCACTGTTTTTTTAGAAGTTTAACAGTATTTTTGGATTTAGTAATTAAAAATATTATTTTTTTGTCTCCTGACTTTTTTGTCTATCTTGCTTACTTCTTGCGAAAAAAAATAAATTCACAATAATTCTTCGAATTGATAACCACTAACATCAACGCAATGGTTTCTGGTATTGTTGCCGTCAACCAATGCGTTGATGTTAGTGGTTATCAATTCGGGTCAAGTTATATCAAAATCGATTAAATAGTTTTTCAAATATCTTATTTTTTTTTCTTTTTTAAGTAACTTTATTTAACACCCTGTATCTCGAAAAGGAAGCTTTAAATCTTACAAGTTTATCTGAACTTTTTGTTTTATTTTTGCAAGTTCTATCGTCTATTAAATTATCCCGATTAAAATCTGAGACACCCTGTATATAGATACAGTGACCAGAAATACCCCATAAGCGAGAAGAGCGACACTTTGTAAGCCGGAAGCTCGGTCAAAATTTTGTCGCGGTTTTTCTCTGGAATGGTCGCTATTGTAAGGCTGCGGGCACGCTTGCGAGCGATTTATCTCGAGCGATATATCGTGGACGACAATATAGCGAGCGACGGACGAGAACCTGTCCACAGAAAAGCGATTTACAAATTAGTTTTCGTCATGCCTCTCACACGAGCGCGTCGAATTGCCCTTCTTTTGGAAGATGATGTATTTTTAGACCCATTTTTAAAGAAAAAAAGGAAATATGGTGTACATCCCATCAATAGATACAGAAAAGCATACGGGGAATATCATCATTTGTATAAACATTTGCAAAAATACCCAGAGAGGTTTTTCCAGTACCTTCGAATGAGTATACACACATTTGATTTACTACTGGATAAAATTAAAACGAGTATTGTGAAAAAAACTAAAAACTTTGGAAAACCAATTTCTATTGAAGAACGATTAGTGGTTACACGTAAGGTAAGTAAAAAAGAAACTAGTTAAAGTTTACACTTTTGTTAAACTCGTCTTCTTCCATGTCCCTGGGGAAGCAGTTATTTCCATATGCTAGTAGAGGTAACGCTTGTGGTGTGAGTTGGGTTTGGCTGATGGGTAAAAGTTCATGATATGTTGGTGTTTCATCCAATAATGGGGATTGGCTTTGTAACAACTTCTGTTTTTGTTGCTCCGGTGGCTGCCGTTGAATCATGTTTTCTTTAAATTTATCGAATACTAATTGTTGTTATAGTACTTCTGAGCTCTAATTTGTCAACAAGCGATAGACGTTCCATATATGGCAGTAAACTTCTGAAAAAATGTAAATCTGCACTTTCTGGTTCATCGCCTCTCTTAACTTCTTTTTCCAACAAAGTAACTTTTTTTTCTGTAACTCCAAGTATTGATGGTTGAGATTTTGGGCGTTTCGTTTTTGAGGGATGCGACGTTGTAAAAACTCAGATCTAACAGAAGCACTGCTTGAAGGGTGCGATGTTGACAGCTGGGATTGCGAGCGTGATGTTGATGCTTCAGACTGCCGCCGACGTGATGCTGATTCTGCGTGTTTTGATGGCGTTACCACTAATGGGGCGGGGGGGGTATCACTAATGGAGGAACGTATTTACGTATTATTATTAGTATTTTCGTCATTACTTGTACTATGTTCTATTTCATCATCGGTATTTTCACATCATATTGGGTTTCATTGACATTCGAACGTCCGACATCACTTAAATTACCCTGAGTTGGAGCAGGCGTAGTATAGTCCCTTAAAAATTGCATGCTTTCAAAGTACTGCCATTTACTTTTAGTTGGTAATGCTTTTGATCCGGATTTTAAAACAGGAATCTTTTGGTTTTCGCGCCGGAACTGATCCTTAAGGTTCTTCCACTTTGATTTCGCCACATTACCTAAAACAATAACCTATTCTAGTGCATATTCTGAATGGTGTATGTATGAAATTTGATTGTGTTACTTTTTTTGTCGGTCAGCATAGAATACGTATTAAAACTTGTGCGGATTCTATAGACGGGGGAGGGGGCAATAAACCTGATGGCCAGTATTACCTTGAAAAATTAATTCCATTGTTTTTGTTTTAGATATTTAGCTACTGGATGTTCATTCAGAAGTCTAGCATTTTCATTCCGAATGGGCAAGTCTACGATAATAAGTATGATAGTTTTTGAAACAGCCGGAATAATTTGGAGTAAATTGGTTCAAGAATATATGCCCGTGCCTACTGAGGAACATTTACAAAAAGTAATATCAGACTATTATAATCGATGGAAATTTCCCAACTGTTTTGGCTCAATTGACGGCAAACACTGTCAAATAAAATGTCCGCCAAACTCAGGATCGAGTTATTTTAATTATTTAAAATACTTTTCGATAGTACAAGGCGTGGCTGATGCTGATAAAAAATTCCTGACAATAGAAGTAGGAGGCAGGGGTAAGCGATGATGGAACATTTATCGCGTCAACTTTATTCAACCTATTGGAAGCCAAACAATTTTGCGTCCCTCCAGATCAAGAACTGCCAGGATCAAACATAAAAATGCCTAATGTTTTAATTGGTGATGAAGCTTACCCATTGAAAAAATACTTAATGCGGCCGTATCCACGCAGAGTACTCACACCAAGAAAAGAATATTTCAATACACGCCTCTCTACAGCCCGAAAATGTATCGAGTGT